ACCATTGACTCCAATATACGAAAATTAACTAGTGAATAAGTAATTGTTATTGTAATTCTTATTTGTTTCGTCTGACGTTGAATTTCTTAGTAGCAGTTGGTCTAAGTTAAGTCTGTTTTTACTGTATTTCATACGTTTATATACACTAATCTTCTATTTCATGGATCATTCTTCTCCAAAATATGAATTTTTCTTCCATTCTCATTAGTCTTGACTTAGTAAAAACACTTATAAAGTTACTAAGATATGTTCGGATCACCTGGAGAGTCACTCAAAGAACCCTGAATATTAATTCAAGAGATGAAAGCAAGTTTCAAATTCACTTCCCTGTCCACGAACCACTTAAAGAAGAGGGGAAATAGCAGAGTTTATACATCACAGAGATATAAGGAAAAATAAAATGTCAGAATTGGGCCATACTTATTCACATAAAAGTTACGATGTTCTTCGACAATTTGCTTAGGTATATGAAGTCGGAATTTCGTCATTGCGGTGTGCAATAAAAACAAATGACTCCCCTACGTTTTCTCAAAATTAGGCACAGGGAGTACAGGGACGGATTTAATATGAGAGTATTTGGGATGCAACTTAATGCCCCGTAGACACCTATTAGGCGGTAATCTCATTGAAGGTAATATTATGAAATGAAAAGTTGAGACTAAAGCTGCCTTGTTAGTAGAGGCGAGAGATCTCCGGTTCGGTTTACGGTTTCCAAAAATTGCATATTAGCACGAAACCTGGAATTGTTTATTATTACTGACAAAATATTAGGTTATAGGATATTTAACTTGAATATACCGCCTTATCTCTTTGGTGTCGTAAACTTTACTTGGTTAGGTTTTTTTAGCTAAAATTACGGGCTCCATTTGGAAAATTACAATCTTTTTACTTTCGTCGACGTCGATAGCAAATGTCAGCATTTGTGGAACCGAATAATCGGGATTAGTTCCAATCGACAGTTTCTATCATTATCCATTTGTTCAGTACCAAATTCTCATTCGGGATTACAAGATCCGCTTTAGTTAGGTATTAGGGATTCAGTGAGAACAGTTCGGAATATCGGACTTAGTTTTAGCAGAGAATAGTTCACTAGAATTCGATCGGGTGAATAGTTATCGAATTAATGAGCGAAGTTTCTACGTTGAATCGACCGAAGTGATTAATGATAGGTTCTGGCTGAATTTATTAAATTATTAGAAGTTATTACCTGGTCAGCATTTTATGGACGTATTACTGTTAAGGTGAAGTTGCCTATTATATTTTAGACGTTCCTAAAAATACATCATTACGGCTGTACAATGTAACACCTACTTTTTACTATTTATCTTATTCTTATAAGTCCCATATAACAGGGGATGAGCCTATTGGCATATAACGGACATATTTCCAGGCTCCGTGCTACTAACATGTTTTTTTAAAAACCCTTTGCCTCCTGCCCGACGTGTATATCGAACCCGAGACCCCTTGCCCAGCAGTCGCACTTGTGACCGCTCGGCCATCGAGGCAGTATGAAATAAAATCAAAGATAAATAAAGTATGATTTTAACTATTTCAACTAATTCAACGTCGTCTTTTTTCCCTGATGCATTAGTCAAAAGTGCGTTAAATTAAATAAATAGGTAGTAACTTTTCAGTAATGATGTTACAAAAACACACAGTGTGATATAGAGGACAAATCTATTGCTATACTCCGGAGAAAACTTTAAACCACTTACTTTGGTTAAAATTTGTTTATCACCCAGTTAGCAACAAATCGACCTATAAAACAGTTATAGTGTCAACTTCCAAGCTACTCTTTCTTTGTGTCTCCTATTGTTATTTACCCAACATTTCAAAGTTGGTCACCAACAAAGGGAGGGCACTCGCTATATTCCAGATTACGGGATCTCACTGACACCGTCATCACGTCATCCATATTTATGCCTCGCCTCAGTTAATCGGATTCAGTGGCTTAATGCCCCGGTCGCGTTAAGCACTAGTACTTAACTTGATCTGAGTTAACTCTCCAATGAAGGTGTCAACTTAACTTAAATTCTGTTGTCGGTAAGCCTTTGTTTATTTTAGGTCAATTGGGTTTTCTTTTGTGTAATTATAATGTTGTATTAGGGTGAAGTACGTTGGAGTTTCTGACAGTGTGATAAATTCGTTAAAATTGCAAAAGTTATTCTTTGCATATTCCGTACCTGTCAACTAAGTGGATGCAATACCCTGTGCTTTTGGGTCGACAAAATAATGTACAGCTCATTCTTATTTACCTACATTCATATAAGGTAGTGCGTAAATATTTACTAAAACCTATCTGAAACGTAATTACATTATTTTTGTTAAAACTGTGTCTGTTCAATTTTCAGCAGTACCATTTTAACTCGTCGAGTACCGGTTTTATAGACACAATTAAAGAACAATAGGTCGCGGTCACCGGTGAGCGCTTGGTGTTTGACAGTTTAAATATAAGTTCTATTTTAGTATGGTGTACCTAAATATTCTTAGACAAACTATCTACAACTCCATTAATTCTTATCTACGATGCTTGTGGGACCACAATGCGGTCTGCAAGCAGTAAGACAGTGCTCCCGTAGGTTCTGACTCGTAAAATAGAGAGAAGACGTGTGATTCCTACGGCAAGGAAACTGCTTTGTATTGTATTGTAGTATCTAGTTTTCGAAAGGCTTGTTGGAATTATTGTTCGTGTATAAATATTATTTGGTGAAAATCTTTCATTAAAATTTATATGAGTTAGGGCGATCAGATTGTCTCAATCAATTGGGTACTTGCCTTCATCAAAAATAAATTATTTCGACTGTTCAATACAATAAAATATTAAAATATAATTACACTGTCATTGATTGATTTTATGACCAACTTAATTTTAGTTCTATTCTACCAAATTTTTAAGAAATAAGTATGCCGATTGACGCTATAGAAATCGTGACGTCACACAAATATATACAATGTCGTACAAAATTAATAGAAAACTGTCGTTTTTGACACTTCGAAAAAAGTATTGAGTTTGACTAGTTGGCAAGTACTCAATTGGAGCTTTAATTATGCTTGCATGCACACAGGTCATTCGTTTAATATCTAACTTTAAGAAGTAATGCAATAAGGTTAGTTTCAGTCATATGACTTACTATCGTCATCACTTTACAGTTGATATGAATGAAAGTCATTAATCATTAGAACCAGGCTCTTATTTTTATTTATTTTTTTCTCGGCAGTTGGACTCTCAGAGTGAGTGACTTATGCCAGAATACTGAAACGTTACTCAATTTTAAGTCGTGCTTAAATATCGTGCCATCTCTGTCATTTTACAAAGAATTTGTGGAGACAGAACTATACTTAAGCGCGACTTAAAATTGAGTAACGTTTCAGTATTCGGGCGTTAATAAAATTGTTTCGTTTACTTACCTGAACCAATTGTCATTTTGCACGTTTCGCAACCCTGTAATCTAAATTGCAAATAAACAACCCTATTTCGAGGTCGGATGATCTAATAAACTCCGGGCCGGTGCAATTACACAGTGGTCGCTAACTAAATTATTAATTATACAATTTTAAATTGTATGTTTAATGAATAACAATGTGGTGTGTAAAGCTGGCCAACCTATTTATATAGGTACCTACTAGCTTATACCCGCGGCTTCACTCGCGTCACAAAAGGATAAAAAGTAGCCTATGTGCCATATACCAATACACACAGCGCCATCTATACCAATACTTTTATTTTTCCTCGGGAATATCAAATTTTTCCGGGTTAAAAAGTACCCTATTATTTAATCCGGACTTCTAACTTTACGTCTGCAAAAATTCAAAGCAATCGGTTTAGTAGTTACGGCGTGTAAGTAGAACAAACAAACAAATTCACTTTCCGATTTATAATATTAGTAAGGATAAGGATTATATTTCTTTTTGTCAATAGGTTCTTGTTGACTAGTATAAATACTTTTGGGGCTAGTAAGCGTTTCTTTCTTTGCCAGCCGTTAGTTTAGTTAGGTTTTTGGAAATCTTCCATCTACACGCTACACGCGTCATCAACAGCCTGCTTTACATAATAAATATAATAATCTAGTGCATATAGGTATAGTCACCGGTTTTTATTTTTTTTTTTTAATGGGGGAAAATCATCGAATGACTGCTCCCGCCTGGGTGAGGCGGAAGGGAGTGTCAGACTCTTACTGACTAAAAACCACCCCGTTCCTTCTCCTGCACGTCGAGCCGGAGCCCCGGTTACCCGTTAGGTTCTCCGCGACTCCGAATCGGCATCGGCCCTATTGGGCCCCATCTGTGGTGGTCTGATGGCTCTTTGAGGCGCGCGCGGAACGCGACGCGCCGTACGGTCGGGTCTGTTTCTGGTCGGACGGGGAGCCACCCATGCTCGCCGTCCGCAGGCCCGCGCTTGCGGTGGCCGGAGATCGTCCCGCGATCCCCGACGCCCGGTGTGTCCTTCGCGATGGCTGGGTTGCGAGGAGGCAGCGCTTCGCTGCCTCACGCGTCCCGCCTCCTCCTTAGCTAGCATGACTGCTTCGCAAAAGGAGGAGACGGCATCCCAGTCCCCCTCGCTCCGCATCATGGCCTGCACTAGGCCCGGACGCGAGAGGTCGCCATCGCCGATCACTTCCCTGAGGGCACGGCGGTGCTCAGCCCACGCAGGGCATTCTCCCACTGTGTGTTCCACCGTGTCCTCAGGGCGGCCCTCGCAGTGATGACACCCGGGCGTTTCCTCCCGCCCCATCAGACACAGGTACCTCCCGAAACTTCCATGTCCGGTGAGGACCTGCGTCAGGCGGTAGGTGAGGACGCCGTAGCGTCTCTCAAGCCACTCCTCAAAGAGGGGACTTACCGCTGCAATGGCAGCGAGCCCAATAGTCACCGGTTTGTGTGTCAATTACCTTTGTCCTACCTTTACATTTGTGCCTCCCAAATGACCGGGACCTAGTAGTCCCATGAATGGCAAAGACACACATATTAATAAATATTGTTTATTCTCATTGCCTTAACAGAAGCGACGCGTTAGCCACAACACTGTCGGCTCTCTACGGGAAGCTGCTCGTTGTTATGGGCATCGCCTTCCCCATGGCTGAGGTCATCTCCACATACATTCCACCCTCATTCTATGAGGTAAGTTATGACGCATATACTGTTAGACGAAATTATTATTCTACTGTCTTCTTTAAATGACGTCACTCCTTTACAGTCTAGAACTACGTATTATTATGAAGAGGAAATATTTTATTGTTTTGTTGTTTGCATTGAATAGGCTCTAAAACATAACATAACATCACGTCTTTTATCCTCGAAGGGGTAGGCAGAGGTGCACATTATACCACTGTACAATGTAACACCCACTTTTCACTATTTATGTTATGAGTCCCATGTAATAGGGGGTGAGCCTATTGCCATATACCGGGCACAGTTCCAGACTCCGTGCTACTACTGAGATTTTTTTTAAAACCCAGTAATACTTTGCCCAATCCGGGAATCGAACCCGAGACCTCTTGCTCGGCAGTCGCAATTGCGACCACTCGTAGGCTCTAAAAGTAATTATTAATTTATCATTTTCATAGCCCTATTTTCCTTAGAAAATGAAACAATATGAAGTTTAATTTTTATAACATTGTTTAATTAATTCGAAATACATATAATCGAGAGTTCTCCGTGTTGTTAAACAATTAAAATATAATTGAAATTTAAGAACCTTTGGGATCATAATTGCGGGTTTAATGAAAAAGCGATTAACTTTCAAACTTCTGGTATTGATTTCATAAGTTAAAAGTCTCTTAATTATTTATTATTAATCTCGAAAGTGTATATTATATTCAGATCGGTTATTGACCTTATCATACCATAGTAGAAACTAGATGTGTAATTTTGAATATCTCGTTGAGTATTTTAGCCTTTTTTATGGGACAGGGTGACAGGGCAGATGGGTCACCTGATGGTAAGCATTTGGCGTCGCCCATGGACACCTGAAACACCAGAGCACCACAAGTGCGTATCGGCCTTTTGGGGATTAGGAATTTGAGGATGGTTGGGGATTCAGTGATTGGAGAGATTGGTTTGATGATTGACATAATAATTTGAATATGTATTTGTTACCAGGGTTTCTACCTATACCTGTACATCGGCAGTATGGTGTTCCTCCTGTACATGTATGCAGCCCTCGCGAGGGACAGGTCAAGGTCATCAGCTCCAGACACTACAGTTGTTGCAAGTCAGTATATTGAACTATTTTCCTATGCATTGTTTTATGTATATAATTTTTGTTTGGAAACCGTACATAAGTTATTATGTTCGTAGGTACGATCATTTGTGGCAGATATAAAATATAGGGCAAACAAGAACCAGATGGAACTAAATATGAAATACTTGAAAAAAATCTTCACTTCATTAAAAATATTTTTCATAAATGTAAGCTAGATTGGGCTGGAAACTCGGTTTGACGGCGTCGAGTTTAAATTGCATCATTACCAACATGCAGATGTCTCGATAGAAAGAACCTGCACAGAGTGCTTGCGGCTATATATTGCTTCAAAGGGGTAACTTTTCACGTTTTCTTTTCGCCGATTGCCTATACAGGTGTTGCGAGAAAATAAATGAGTTTTCTACCAATAGGGATATTTATTATGTATTTGATCTGTATGATAAAAAAATTATGCTATGATTATGGTTAGGTAGAGATCGTAATTTAACGATTTTGTATTTTTAGAAAAGAGTAGGTTTAGACAATTAGCTAGTGTTAAATTTCCTTTATGTTTGGAACAAATTAAAGTTACAATTGTCACACCCACGACTCGCGAAATCCTTTGATTCATTATTCAGTCGACAAGTTTCAAACATCTCTATTCCGAAAATAGAACAGACGAATCAAAGCCCTATCGTAAATGCCAAATCGGGTATTACCAATCTGAGGCTTGTGACGTAAACGCACACAACTTTTTAACTCACCCTTTGTTTCAATCATGCGTCGTGCCTTTATTTCTGCTTCTACGCGACAGTCGTAGAAAAAACAGGGTGATTTTTCTTTTTTTTGTTCTCGAGCCTCGCGATTCCACATTTTGTTATTTAAATGATGCGGAAAGCCCAGTGGAGGGCCTACAAACATGCCAGCTAATGCGTTACTCTGCTGCCAGTTTTACGGATATTTTATGTCCCTATTTTTCTTACTTTTTTTTGTTACGATTTTTTGCGTACTCCATTGCTCTTACACTCGACCCTTTCTGTGAATTTGTGATAAGATCCTCAATTTACATTTCTGACGGTGGTTCGTTAAAATATTTTCTTCTAGGAATGGTCACTCTAGACAAGCAGCAGACACAATTTTATGAAAATGATATTATAATTTTAGTCTGATGTAAATATTGGCGCTAGAATACTTTTCCCTACAAATGTTGAAAATTTTTTGACTCTTGCTGTATTATTTTGCACTAGAGAGAAGGTTTAAGAAAGGTCTCCATGTGATAATTAGACCTGCTACACTTTGGGCTGAAACCCAGGCACCAGTTTTTTATTATAATTTCTTTTTCAGAATCAGACTCAAGTTCATCTCCATCGGAGTCTGACTCCTGTTCATCTCGCACGGAGCGGAGCACGGCCACGGCAGCCCACATACCTCCACACCTGGCTGCCAAACGACTGTCATTGGGCTTCGCGCTGGCGTCACGCACACATCACTACGGGAGTTTCTATTTGAGGATGGGGGCCGTTGGTGAGCTTTGTCTCTTGTCATATCATTACCATAGTAGATGATTAGTAATGGTTTCACATCAACAACCTGTATCGATCCACTGCTATATTAAGGATCTTTTGTACACAAGAAGGATTTGCTACATAAATGCTTGGCAGGCATTTAAACTGTTTTGATTTTTAAGAGAGCGCTGCTGCCCGGTCTCTATTAAATGTGAAGGCCTTTAGTTGGTTCTTATAACACCACGAGAAGTGGAGGCTTATTTGATTTACATGTATATGAATAGTACCGAAATTGGCAGTTGTCAATATTGCATTACACGGCTTAAAATACTCTTAGATTAGCTACTAAAATATTTTCAATATCCGACTAATTTAATACAAAATTCAGAGCTTAGCAAGCACAGCGACGTAATCACCTTTCCCCCTACGGCACCTATACTCAAAGTATCGTTAATCTCTTGGTAAATGACTGCTGTAATTGTTTCCCTAAATCAATTTGGCGTGTCGAAGCAGTCGAAGTAAACACGGCCGTTTAGCGAGCCTTTGTCTAAGCTCTAGATTAGTTTGTAACAAAGTTTCTAATGAAAGGCAAACTTTGTACGCTCGCCTTTTTGGGCACCAACTTAGGCATGTTGGGTACACGTTTAGGCCTATTGTGCTAGAATAATTTGTGTACTATCTAGGCAATTGATGGATGGTAAGAGATTTTGTGATGTTATTATTAGGAAATTCACACTGAAGTGATTTGTGAACATTTCTTAAAAAAACGGAAAATGTAATTTTGTGCGATACTTTTTCGATTACATTAATCGTCATCTTCGGCTCGTTTTGCATTATTATTGTCATTAATAAACCCAATTAAGATTTGCATGTAGTAGGTACCTATCTATATAAATACCTAAATGTTTTTCTTTATATTTCAGCATTCGGTATCGGTTCCATGATCTACTCAGGTCTGGAGTTTGGTCAGTATTGGGAGTTGGAGAGGAACACCAATTGCCATAACGTTTTGTTGGCCCTAACACCGGCCACCAGGATGGCATTCATCTTTATACAGATGTACTTCATTTTTCTTAATAACGAGGTAAGTTTTGGATTTAATCATCCTCATGAGCCGGTCACTTTTCCGAGCTATATATACTATCTAATATTATTTAGACACCACTGACCAACGGTGAAGGAAAACATCGTGAAGAAACCTGGCCTTATAATATCTAATTATAAGTTTGAAATCGTCAACCCGCATTGAGCAAGCGCAAGAATACTGCTCAAACCTTCTTCAACAGCGGGCACTTATAGGCTGTTGATGATGAACAGCCCGGGAAGTTCCGCTGTTGGACCATAGGCCTTATTCTTTCCATTTGAGAGAGTGAACCGCCTGGAATAATCGAAATAACATTTGTACATAAAAGCGTATAATTTGACGAATTAAATGAGATTACATCACAATCAATGTGATAATTAAATTTTGGTGTCATGAATAAAAAATTAAATGATTTATGCCAGAATACTGAAAGGCTACTCAATTTTATATTGTTCTTAAATATTGTGCCATCTCTGTCATTTTTAAAAGAATTTGTAGTGACAGAAAAATAAGTACTTAGCGTGAAATAAAATTGAATAGCGTTTGAGTATTTGGACATTAATAAATTTTTTAAGTAGCTGTTTAACCTCCATTAACCAGACCTCCTTATATTTGTACCAGTCGGTACCTATATTATAAACTATGTTGATTAAGTTTCTATAAGTTTTTATAGCCTATCGGCCATTTTCTATAACCTATCTACCTATCTGTAGATTTGCTTACTAAGATAGAATTTTGACACATTTTGTATGGAGCTTATGTCATGAAAATGGCCGTATATTAATTAGGTATATCATAAAGCATTCATTTTGTTTGCTGTACTTAAAAATATAAATCAACAGGCACTTTGTGTAATATGTGAAATAAGGCTCAAATAATATTGCCTTACAAATAAATTTGACGAAATTAGGTCTATGGAATTAAACCATAGATTAGAACTTCTAATAAAATCAAGGTCGTTGTACTAACTTGTTTTTCTTTGCTAAACAAAACGTGTAGGCGTCGTTTTGCTTTTGAAACCTTGGAAAAGTTGTAAAAAGTCCAATTATAACAACTTTTGTGGGAAAATGTATTTGTGTTATATTTTTTGCTGTTTACATTATGGAAATGTGCGTTATCGTTTGAAAATGAGGTTATTGTTAAAGTTCGTTATTAAATAGTTTGCTTAGATAAAAACAATGAATGTTTGCTTTAAGTAGGTAATACTAATACGTCAATATAAAAATCTGCTATTGATGGTATAGGCTCCATTTTTCATTGAGACACTTGAAAAGATAATAAGAGTTTCTTCTTAGTAAATAGCGATTTCACCTATTCTTAAACATTATAGGTGTCGCGGAGAATTTAAAGGGTTACCGGCTCGAACCGCAGGAGAAGGAACGGGGTGATTTTTAGTCAGTAAGAGTCTGACACTCTCTCCCGCCTCATCCAGGCGTCATTTTATTTACCCTTTAAAATGAATAAATCTCCCGGTCGATTTCGATCATGGTGGCCAGTCTAACTAGACTAGCCCACTACACAGGAGAGATTATAGTGCATAAGTGTGTGCGCAAACACAGGTCACACAAACACACACTCTCTGTTCCCTCACTGTCTGAATCCGATGGGACGGTAGACTGATACAACCAAAAAGACATAAGGCGCAGGTTTTACGTGCTTTCCGAGGCATGGGAATGATGAGGCATGAACTTCCTGAACCCGGACTAATAATAGTCATTTTACTCAGAAAATGCCATTACCACTTTTTGGCTGCCAAGGGACTCGAACCCGACGTTGCAAGTAACCGGTGACACAACCCCTGCGCCTACCATGCAGATCTATTTAGGCTTTACCGTAATAAACAAATGACCACCATTAAACATTTATACGACACATTCCCACGAAGCAAACAGCTATCTATCAATTAAATTCGCAGTGTTGCCAGCGCTATCCATTGTGTACCCGACAATCCCGCCATTATCATTTATCACTATCACTCACTTTTCAGATGAAAGTGTACAAGCATAAGATTGTAGCCCGGTTTGGCCTGATGCATATGGTTGGCACCAACCTCAGTGTTTGGCTCAACGTACTGGTTCAAGAAACGAAACACGAAATCCTAACTTTCTACGATCCGGAGAACAAAACTATTGGACTGTCACATCGACTTGGTAAGTTGAAATTTTTTTCATTAGTACCTAATTCATGGTAAAAATAATTTTCTACGAGGCTTTGTTAACCTTCCTACAGTCGGGTAAAAATATTACCTAAACAAAAAAAAACTTATACATTGTCTTCCTTTTTCGTAATTAATTATATCAAAGTTTAAGATTAATACATTAGTGCTACATTTTCATCATTTTCTACAAATATTTCAAAATTGATAAAAACTCGAGTCTTTGTAATAAAATAGGTTTAATGTCTGGTTTTAAAAGCTGGCTGGTGTTAGAAGAAAAACTTGAAGATGCCTTTACATTTTGTTTTTAATGTTTGTTTTCTTAATTTATTTTATGGCGTCATTTCATTTCTCCTACCAAAAATGGCTTTTTATTACCAGCAAGAAGTCTTTAATCCTATTCTTTTTGTAAGATTGTAAAAAAATCTAGCATAGTTTACATTGTGTGTAAGTAAGTAAGTATTAAGTACCTATGTCTAGTAGAAAACATTTTACTTCCGTTAAATTAAATAGCATTAAAATTCAAGAGTCAGCAGTCACGAAGGTGCTTTTATGTAATGTTAATCTAGTATATAAAGTTAAAAATAACTTTAGCAATAAATACTATGAATAAAATGTCACTAAAACAATACGCTATTCTTTGACGTTCATTTGCTGGCTGTTGAACTCCAATCATTGAATAATAGATAAAAAATAAAGTATTAAAAATCGATATACGATACATTTATAAAAGCTACATAATATGAATACGTCAGTCGAGTTGTCGGGTCGCTGCCGCTGGACATTTTGAATGAACTGCCGTGCGACACGATTATACTACGTCCATAGACTAAAGACTTCATACTAGCAATCGATATTGTGTACTCTAGTAGAACAAAATAAGGTGTTGTGTACACTATGCCCAATTTTGTTTCATTGGTATAACTAGTTGCGGTTATGGGGTATTAAGTAAGCGTTGTACGGAAGTAAATGGTTATTTTTGGCTTTTTTGTAATTGTTTTATAACTATTAGGCTGCGTTCGTGTTCGTTTTGATCCTTTTGAGCCTCTATCTGAGTTACTGAACTAATAAATAGCTTCGTGACATTTATTTCATTTATGATGGAATGAAAATGCTGTAACTATCCCATATCCCTATTCTAGGAAATCAGTATTTTTATAGATTTAAACTCTTTGGTAAACCTCTTATAGATTCCTTTCCTTTTTTTACGGTGCAACCGATAGACTAAATACGACCTGGTTAAGAATCATTTCCTCACAATACCTAAATAGACACATTTTATCTAGTTAGAAAACCATTGACAATTTATACATAACATAATACATCAAAACCTAAGCCTAACCTAATAATGTCGATCCCAAAACACACACGACGCGCCTCACCGATCTAAGCTAATACATTTAACACTAAAACCGATGACAGTTACAAAGTTACACAGTTTTCCGATAATTTCATTTGCCGGTATAATTGGATTAATCGTTGTCAGTGAACACTCGCTGTGGCGGGATATTGTCACAAGTTCCTCCCTGATTTGATTCATACGGTAACGCTAGTTGGTACGAAAATACCCAGTAGCATGTTGTATGGGTTAAACGATTGTTTAGCTTTCAGTAAGATTGGTAATGTATTTAACATTATGATCCGTCTGCCCGTTTACCAGCTTGGTAAACGGGCAGACGGATCACCTGATAGTAAGCAATCGGCGTCGCCCGTAGACATTCGAAACACCAGCGGCGTTACAAGTGCGTTACCGGCCGTTTGGTAATTGGAAATTTGAGAATTGTGGGGGATACGGAGATTGGGGAGACCAGGACCAGGGGGTGAGGTCATCACATGACGAAACACAACGCAAGCGTTGTTTCACGTCGGTTTTCTGTGAGGCCGTGGTATCACTCCAGTCGAACCGGCACGTACGAGCCGAAGCATGGCTCTCCCACACTTCATTCATCGACTCATAAAAACTTTAATTTGAAAAGTTGTTAATAGGTACTAGGTCCTTTTTCGTATAGTAAAAAATTGTGAACATTTTCGTACAGCAAACTGAATAAAAGCCACCATTCTGAGGCTTCGAAAAAGCAATTGTCAAGTAACGACTCATATCTTTTTTCCCGCTATAAAAGCCAGCGATTTGGCGGGAAAGCTGACGAGGGCATTTTGTTTGCTCGGTTGGTCATATAGGATTTTTTGTTGTACTTCCAGATTTTTTATCGATTCGATAGTTTTTGGTAGTTTAAGGGTTTGTAACGATAGTATCTTAATTGTATGACAAGAGCACGGATCGAGAGTCCGTGGAGAATTAATCTGTAACATTATAAAATAAAAACGATAGTATCTTATTTATTTTTTTATTTATTAACACTTGTGTTTATTAAACATACGATGGCGGACTTATGTATCTTCTTATGGGGTTTACAGGAAGTCCATAAGGTCCTATTTACCGTGGCAAATAGAAACATAATATGCACAAATAGGTACATGTTTCATAGCCAAAACACATTAAATTCAATTACATATTAATGAATTTATAAATGTTAATAAACAAATTTGTGCTCGTATAATTCTCAAAGGATATCGCCTAAAGTAATTTCTGCTACCCAAGAGATCGGCCGCTTCATTTGTTCCCGTAACATCCCTTTGTTACAATTTATTCACTTTTAACCCCTTTTGCAACTTCCATCGCGCATTTTATGGTTATTTTAGTACTGTCCTTTATGGTTACGCGTGTGTTCGCCTGCCTTTACTTAAATGAATTCATTACGTTTAATATTTAGATAGATACGTATACAGAAAACGAAATTGCTTGTTTGATTAGATTAGGTAATTTTACAAAATTAATTGTATGCACGATTCGTCACAAATACCTATACCTATTATTTTACGATGCTTTGCTAAAACTGCTTGAACTTTATTTTAGTCAATAAAATTTTCAATATCCCTCTTTCAATTTAATAGCAATACAATTTACAATCCGTTTTGTTTGACATCCAAATAAATACATAGTTTAATATCAGAAACCAGATATTTCGACGTAACTCTTTCTTAACTTATAGTTATTGATACAATTTACAATCCTTCATGTTTGTCTGAACCCAAAGAAAAAGCATCTACAAAATATGGAAGTTGATGCAGATTTCCAATTAGTTTGTCCTTATCATCGAGAAATGTCAGGGAGGCATGTTGATTGCGTTCCACTGCGACCCGCCCGGAAGGCATCGTGACCCACATTCCTGCCTGCCATGCCGATAGGAAATAATACGTATTGGATGATTTAGCTATACAACATACCTAATACAGTAATACGATTTGCTCTACTTCAACCGGTGTTTATTGATCCTTAATCCGATTTGTGAAGGATCAAAAATGATGTTTTTTGTACTCTATACTTATTAGTATTTGTTTTGATTCCAGCGTTCCAAAAGGCGTTTGCGTCGTTGACAACCGACGTGCCCCCATCTCATCCAGCAGCTGCCCACCTTCGCGTCCCAAGAGGTCTCAAGGGCCCTCACCACATCTTCGAGTGCCGTCGAACAAACATCATGGGGTCCCTCGTCCAGGATGCATCTCCATTCCTCTTCCCTTGTACCATCGAATACTCTCTCATCTGCGCTGCCATCCTTTACGTCATGTGGAAGAACATTTCCAAATACCCATCGAAAGACGTTGCGGCAGCTATAGTCAAAGCTCGTATACTAGAAGGTCTCGCCTACAAAAAATCCCCACATTTGTACAGCGTCGACTGTGCACGAGCTCACAAAGGCCTCTTCTTCGGAATCCTAGTTTTGGTATTAACTATAATATCATTGATACTTTTCTTTGTTTTGGTGTCAAAGAAAGATTATGCGACCCTCGCAGTAGTTGAAGTCAACGTTTGTGAGTTAGCATTGTATGCTATGACAACATTTGCTAGTTTAGCGGGAATGGTCTGTGTCAGGAAGCTAAAGTATGATGGAAACCGAAATCTTGAGCTAGATAATATCCTTCTGGTAGGAGCTCAAACTGGAATGTTCATCTACGGAACTTTCACAATTATTGGAGGTCATTTTACAATAGAGAAGAATACTATTCTCATATTGATAACAGCTTTGTCCTCCTTGATCCAGACTACATGTCAAACCATGTTTATTCTCGATGCGAGTCGAAGATCAGCGAAGACAGCCGAACAGTTGCGGAAAAAGCCTGGAAGAGAAATTGTGACGTTCTTATTGGTGACGAATTTGGCAATGTGGGCGATAAATACGCTGGAGAAGTCCAGAGCAGAATCTCATCCTGTGCAGCTCCATTTCTATGGGTTGTGGGCTTGGACGATCATCACTCATGTGTCGATGCCTCTGGCTATCTTCTACAGGTTCCACTCGACAGTGTGCCTGTGCGAGATATGGAAACGAGCGTACAAGATGAAGCCTGCTTACATGTAGCGACCGGCTCGGAGGTACTGGAGCACAGCGCTGTCTTTCAGGGTGTGAACCGTGGTACTTTCGGAATCATACATGTAGACATGTGGTAGTTGGATGTTAGTGCCATAGTCTCAGCTAATGCAGTGGACACAGAGCGAATACAATAATAAGATATGAGTACCATGTCCTACCGACTCATTAGATGTAGTGGAAGGTTTCATCTGTTCAGTGTTCACTAGCCACATCGTTTGAAAGTTGACTGCTGTAATGTTAAGTTATTGTATTAAAATATTTTAATGTGTTATTTATTTGTAGCTTTATTATACGCTTTAATTATCATAGCGGAACTGATGTTGAGACGCAGTATTTCACAATTAAACGGGTTGGATTTTATTGATTTTAGCGCTTTACATTTTAGATGTGAATTTTTCTGCAAGTTTTTAGTGTTAAATGTATTGTTAATATATTAAATGTGAACCTATTAATGGATAAGTTATGTGTTCATATTTCTTCTTGTTTACTTAGACGTACGTAGGATCAGTTAGGGACTAGTTAGTAAGTATTTGTAGAGATTGTATTCATTCCACATTCCACTATAGCAGTTATATCTCTCAATCGCCGATGCGTAATGTTTATGATGCACTTTGATTCAAAACGAAAGTCTTCCATTAGGTTACATTGTTTTATACGTTCCTTTTACAACATTTTCTGTTTCAGCTACGTATATATAGCGCGTATTATTCCATAGTACAGAGGGAACAATAAATTCTATCGACCTAACGATATTTTTTTGAGAATTTTTGACTTAAAAACAATACATGATAATATTTGTTATGATAATAAAGTACTTTTTACTATGAAAAGCGAAATAGTCTGAGCAGATATTAGAGATTTTGTAGCGGATATTTTTGGGACAAAAGTGTAGTAGTGTCAGTAATTTTTGATAAATTTTTAACTTGTAGCGATACCTTGGACCCAGTAGTTAGGCAAAATGTAACACCAAAGTCGTATGGATAAGAAATTTTTGGAGCTTATTATGAGAGTAGTCCAGTCATAGATACATTAAATATGGTCGCCATGCATCACGTTTTCATTGTCTATAGTTATAGACTTAGCAATTTCGTCCACTACTTATGAATATTTCAATTTCATTTCGAAGACATTATACAATGATTTTGTAATAACATTTTATATTACTCTGTAGAGTTTGATAGCAGATGAGATAAGTGAATTGAAGAATAACTTTGCAAGATTTTTATAACAGATTTTATTACAAATTTATTTATTTTGATAAAAATCAATCTTATGAATTTCGGACGCCTGAAGCCGCTACTAAATAATTGTTTATAATTCTCTATAATACTTATGAATTCATATTAATATATTTTATATTTAAAATCTTGCTCAAATATTGTATGATTACGATTTGACTCAATGACCAAAATCATGGAGTTTATGTAACACAAATGAATCTCAAAATAAAATTTTATTTTTGCTTCATAACGCCTTCTTCAATATTCTTTATCTAATTGTACAAGATCATTCTCAATTTATATTTAAATTTATTTAAAAATTTTGAACAATGGCTTTAGAATTTCAGTCCTAGATGTTACGATTCCTGTATAATACCACTTTAATATATTGAAAATTACATACTACTGTTTTATACGATAAAATGGATTTTTCAAACGTTACAACTCATTCTCATTATATAATGCTTTGCATAATAATTATAAATGTAGTTTCAGGAGTTTTATAGAAAGCAAATAATTTTGAACCTTTTATATATTAGTGTTAGAGTCCTTTATACTTTTTATATAATATTATATTACGGTAAACCTAGTTGAATGTACTAGGTGTGTATAGTAAGTACATTGAATACTCAATATGAAAATTTAGCTTTAAATTATAATGTGAAATACCAAATTTATACTTTATTGTAGAATAGGAGTGAATGCGATACGTTGTACCTTTTTTATTGAAGACAGAATGTCATTTTGTTTGGTATAAAGTAAATTACAACTGCATCATTATATGACTCAAGTTGATTACTTACATGAAAATGTGAAATAGATCTTGAAGTTACAAACTCATTTGTATTAGCTATTTACAAAGAAAATAAATATTAGATACATGAAAACTCGTAATATATAATACCTATATAGTTCTTAGATATATATAGAAATAAATGATAGACATACTACAATCATACGTAGATAACAAAATACTCATTTAAGTCTTTGAAATTCGAATAGCGGAATTGTATTTTTTTTTAATTGTGACATTTTTCTCAATATTGCAACATTCTTTTTATGATAAAACTAGCAAACCCGGCGAACTCCGTTTCGTCGCCAGGTGGCTTCATTTAATGTAACATTCTTTGCTATAAACCTGGCGGAGCCCGAGACCTTTCCAACGAATGCAAAACCGTAGAAATCGGTTCGTGCGTTCTGGAGTTATAGCGCCAGGAAGGAAAACCCGACTTATTTTTATATAGTAGAAGAGATATTGTACCATACTGAAATTTTCTCTTGTGTCATGGTTTCTTTAAAAAACAATTATACGTCACATCCAGACATACACATGAAGAGCTGTTTATGTGGAAATACATTCTTTGACAACTTTCATGTATTTATATTTTAAGAGCAGCTATTGTCACCAATTGTCACAATATATAAAGTTCCTTGTACCTATTTGTTTTCTTCCACTTCTCACAGTTTAATCTTTTCACTTGAATGTATATAAAATGTAATGTAACTATAGATTAAGATATATAAATGTTTTAATTTATACTTAGGATAGTCTCCTTTGTACCCATTATACCAAATATTCGTTACATTATCTTTCATTTTTAGTTAGTTACTGGCATTTTGTTTATTTTTTGTAAATTAGGGATAACTTTGACATTGTTTTTGAAGATTTACGTGCTTAAATGATAGTTTTTTTTTCACGGCTTATCTATAAAGATCAATTAGATTGTTGGTTGCAAAATTCTCTCTAATGCATTGAGTTTGCAATTTATGATTGACTCTTACTACCAAATATCATCATTCATAGAAAGAGAAGAGTAAAGTCTTCTTAAAAAAATAATGCCGTGTAATACCAACTTATTTATTAGCTTCAATATGTTTTCAGAATCCAAGTTATCCATAATTTGCAAGGACGAGTTATAAAATATTGCCTTTGTATAAATAAATAGTGATACTAGAATATTGTTTTTGATTATATATTTGTGAGCTATTTATTTGTTTAGGAGCGACTGTGAATAGAGGTTTAGCGGTAAGATTGTCTCCTTGGATGTTTAACGTTTACAAACAAATAAAAACTTTCTTGAAATTATCCTGGAACCATGTTGTTTTATTGATGACCGAGTTTAGTTTATTAATGCAGCCATTTTCCCGTTTTGAACCCAAGATTTCTAACATAGGAACGGAATGAGTAAGGAACTTCATGGATTGTACAATATCGGCACTAGGTCTACCTTACTTACTACCTAAACTTACTACCTTTTTTTTAGGCTTAAGCCGGTAAACGAGCAGACGGGTCACCTGATGGTAAGCAATCAGCGTCGCCCATGGACACTTGGAACACTAGAGGCGTTACAAGTGCGTTACCGGCATTTTGGGGATGAGGAGTTTGTGGACTGTAGGGGATTCAGGGGACGGGGGTAATTGGGCCTCCGGTAACCTCACTCACACGACGAAACACAACGCAAGCGTTGCTTCACGTCGGTTTTCTGTGAGGCCGTGGTATCACTCCGGTCGAGCTGGCCCATTCATGCCAAAGCATGGCTCTCCCACACTTAAAATTTAATTAAGTTAGAAATTTAATGGAATTCTGTGGACCTTTTAAAACCATTTGTAAGAATAGACGCCTTAACATTGATGGCAACAGTTGAAAGGAACAATATCTCCTATTAGGCGGTCATGACCTCATCCATACATTCTCAGCATCAATACAAAACCAGTTGTCATTCGAATATAATCCTTGTTTAGGTCAAGTAACATAAAGTTAGTTGAGTAATTGTAAGCATAACTTGTTTCATTTACATTTGAATTGTATTTTACGTTGTATTAAAGTTTATGGACAAAGTATAGTGAGGTTGGGCTTGTTGGTCGAGTGGTTGCATGTGTGACTGCCGGGCAAGGGGACTCAGGTTCGATGGGGGGTCAGACAAAGTAAAACTGTTTTTTTTTAAATCTCAGTAGTAGCACGGAGTCTGGAATTATGCCCGGTGGGAATAGGCTCAAATTCTATTACATGGGAGTCATAACATAAATAGTGACAAGTGGGTGTTACATTATACAGTGGTATTAATTACCGTAATGTGCCCCTTTGCTTAACCCTTCGGGGATAAAAAGGAGTGATGTTATATATGTTATATATAGTGAGGTATTTAATACCTACCCAATATTAAAGTGCTATCATTTGCATTTTTGAAAAGTAGACTAGAAATTCTACTGTTTTTGGACTTTGTAGGTACTATAAAATTAATAACAATAAGGCTAAGTTTTTTTTTGTGTTCAGCATAAGTTTGCAATGTCGGTGATACAATTTTAAGAAACATTAACCACCAAAGTGACATAGCATAACATCACGATTTTTTGTTTTAAATTCTTTGCCTGAACCGGGAATCGAACTCGAGACCCCTTGCCCGGCAGTAGCACATGCGACCACTCGGCCAACGAGGCTGTCAAGGGAACTTAGAGTTAACAATTTGTCTTTTGGTAGCCCTACTTTCCACCCTAATAGCAGTAAAATAAACATAAATGAATTATTCATATTACTCGTACAAATCAACCGCTTTCATAGTAGCGACATACATAGGCACATTTATAAGGTGTTAAGTCGAAACGTGTTTGCATGAATGAAGTCTGTGCGTGCTGAACCATTCATCAAGATTTATGACAACCTTGACTGATCTTTAAAGACGTGGAATCAGCTGATGAAGGGTCGCGTTTAAATGAAAGTGATTAGACGATATGAAATCCTCTTTTCTTAAAAGGTAGATAAGGTCGAAAATGGTTCACATAGTCGTACCAAAACTGCGTGTATTCAGTATACTGTTAAGTTATTAGACACAAGAACATGTTAGAAAGGAATTTCTTCTTCCTCATTTTCGAATAGATAGTAAACTGACGTGAAACAACGCTTGCGTTGTGTTTCGTTGTGTCAGTAAGGTTACCATAGGCACCACCCCCCCCCCCCCCCCCCGATCTCCCGAATCCCTGACTCCCCAACAATCCTCAAATTTCTAATCCCTAAAAGGCCGGTAACGCACTTATAACGCTTCTGGGCACCAGACGCATGCCCGTGGACACGGGCGACGCCGATTCGCCGATTGCTTACCATCAGGTGATCCGTCTGCTCTTTTACTGGCTCATCCCATAAAAAAGGTAGATACCATCCAAACTTCATCATCATTTTGAAATTGAACATGAATCATTAAGTTTGAATAATTAGGGGTCGATGTTATCGAATCTCTTAGCGTCATTGCATTCACAGATCGACATCAAACAACATAAAACAAACATCATATGACTGTTTGTATGTTTGTCAGTTCAACATTCAAGCAAGACCTGACGAGTCCAGCCAAAGGTTGTCTATAGAAATTTTTTAAATTGAACATGAATAACTAAGTTTGAATAATTTAGGGATCGATGTTATCGAACCTCTTGGTCTCATTGCAATCACAGGTCGACGTCGAACAACATAAAACAAACATCAAATGACTGTTTGTATGTTTGTCAGTTCAACATTCAAGCAAGACCTGACGAGTCCAGCCTGAGGCGTTGAGTGAAAACAGTTTGAGGGGCGACAAATTGTCGCCTCGCCTTATACGTCTCAGATAAGTGGTTCCATAGAGAGGGACTCTCACCAGTACGTACAGACGCTTATCAAGATACCCCAACCTGTCCAATCCCATAGGCATTGAGTTTCAACTTAATTACAAAACAGTGAGAGTTGAAAATTCATTAGCCGAATACGATAGGGTGGAGGTTGATCTGCTGCCGTAGATACAAGTTTGGGTATGTACTGGGTATGACTGCACCAGTTTTTATTATTTGTTTGCTTCTGTAATATCGAGATTTCACTTATGTTGTATGGAAATTGTGGTAAAAGTATGTAGTAGAGGAATGAGAGGAAAATTATTAGGTGTTAGGGCTTTCGTCATTTGATTCTGATGATAATGCATTAAAAAGATTCTCTATAGAGGCTTAGGAAGATAAGTCACTTCATCAGAGAGGTTCAATTGTTTAATCGTTGTGGTTGTGATTCCTGGTAAGTGCGGTAAGGAAGTAAAAGATCTTGGGATTGACTTCTGAACGGAGTAAAAATTACAGTTTAGAAATTCTCGGCAAAATTTGAGCCCTATGTTTAGTAATAACTTCTCTCCATTACAAATGCGATTTATTAGTTGACTGCACGGTTGGTGCGGTGGCTGGGCAACCGGCTGCCGT